CGGGTCAATATAGGTCAAGTTCTCATTACCATGACAACCAGTGACGCAGCTCTAATTTCGAAAAAAAATACTGGATATTAATTTTACCTAATAATTTGTCATTTTAAATAAAAGCATGATATTATTAGAGCTGAAATGATTATATTTTCGATCATAACTTGGTGCCATGCTTTCCAGCTTCTAAAATATGTGAATTTGCTGCATTTTGTTTAATATGGGCATATAGCTGCACTTACATGAACAGAAATTCTGAAAACTACACCTTTGCTACAAGTCATTGAAAATTCACAGCCTGACATTTATGTTAATTTGGAACATGTTTAACTTCCTGACAATAAAAAAAACTGGTGGCCAATATAAGGCTGGGGAGAAAAGTAGGTATTTGCTACAGCAGGTTGGCACTGGTTCCTGGCCTGTCACTTAAATAGGCCACAGGATGTGGTCCATGTTGGGACACAACAGAAGTCCAGATGAGTAGTCACACCAATCTGGTATATTCATTCTAGTGTGGAGATGACACTGTGGAGTTACCACAGTGAAAGTAGTCATACAAGCAGTCATACTAGAAGTAGCAGTAGTTTCAGTGAATGCAGATGAGAGGTTGAGCTTTGCTCAACAGTTCTAGTATTCAAATAGAATAGATCAATGTCAGATTGGTGCGTGGAGCCTGACAGAAAAATATGTCAGTAAAGAGGATCTGCCTTGAGACAACTTGGCTATTCCCACATTATTCAGTTCATACTCTAGGTGTGTTCAGTAGTCCAGAATGTTGATGGAAACCAGTGGGTCTATGCATCAGGGTAGTTAATGTGTGAAGAGATTTTGGTGAATAGAACATCCAGTTTACTTTGTCGAATGCTTTTTCTGTGTCTAATGATAGGATTATAGTTTTGGTTTGGTTTTGCTAAGAAGATTGATTAGGTTAAATATTGTATACATGCTATCTGAAGCTTTTCTATTTTTGATTAAACCTGTTTGTTCTGGGTGGATTAATATGGAGATGGCTGTCTGTATTCTGGTAGCTAAAGCTATGGCAATGATTTATAAGTCTGTATTTAAAACGATGACTGGAAGCCTGGGTTGGGCCTTTGTTGGTTCTGCAGCAGGAGTGTCATTACGTCATATGTATCAGTATTATTTCTGTGGTTCTATTCAAATTGACTGGGTCTTATGTTTGACAAAGACACAATCCCCACAGACTTTTTATTGCTGTCATTAAGATTTTGGCATGTTCCTCTTGGATAAACAACTAAACAGTTTAACAACACTAAACTTAAAACCACTCAGTTGACATTGAGTATCACTTGCTGTGTTGAACCAGCCATAAAGTATAATGTGGAATACAGAAAAAACACAGAGAGAAAAGAGTAAAATAAATACTTTTCTTGCCTTTAATGCCACCTAGCGACCCCGTTCTAAAGATGTTCTTTGTCTCAGCTGGTTGACACAGAGTAAAGTTTTCAAGGCATATCATAAACAGATTTCTCAATATGTCAGGCTGTCTGTTTAAACTTAAGGCAAAAATCTGTCTTTTTGTTTTTAAATCCTCAGACTGAACTAACACAGCAGCGGAGTTGATTACGTTTTTTATGGCACAGAAGCTGAAACAGACAGAGATGAAATACAAATAATAAAGGTAAGAATACTTTCCACATCTATAATTTATTAATATCCACACTGTGCTATCATATACAATAATACAATGACATTTATTCATTAAAAATCAGTTAAATGTCTGTTCTTAAGACGCAAACTGATAACCTCTATATGCTTAATTCATTCAAAAACTGTGTTTTTTTGGATTTAAATATAATGGAATTATTTACAGTAATTAAAAATAATACACACAGCCTCTGATATTCAATTGTCACCCAGGATATGAATGTCTGACAATCTGCTGTCTTATTCTGTATTTAACTGTCAGCTGATCTGGATCTTTATTGTCTTTGCTTTATGGTTTGGTCACCTCTGTCAGTATGACCAGAATGCTTGCAAATAATTTATTTTCCATTAGTGGTATTTCTGATACTTTATAAGCTGATACTGTATATGCTGTATGACAATAACATCAGGTACACAGATGTGATAGTAAAGTGCACAGTGGAGGTAACTACCCCTCTCACCCCCTCTGGGGACACACGGTGCGGGTCATAGCACAGCTGTTCGGAGTGTGTGAGCGAACAGTTTGTCAGAGGATGGCCCAGTATGGGATAAGGTAAACTTACTACACATAGGCCTTATTGTTTAAATTTCTTTTGTCAGTGTTTTCCTTTTTTTGTATTTATTCTTGGTTTTTTTTAATGGCAACAGTAGCTATATCTTATTGTTTGTAAGGCCATTAGCATGCATTCTGAAAATTACATTAGAAAGGCGTGCCTACAAATGCGAAGTAATATTATATGACGCTGAATTTTCAACCTGCTTTTGAGCATCTAATGTTGTGACAAAGTGGGTGAGAACACTCCACTTGTCCCTAAGTTAAGTCATGTATGTTTCTTAATGCCTTAACCTGTGTGTTAAATGTTTGATTGTATTTACTAGGTGGATATAGGATAGAGGAGGAGGTGGTTAATCACTTCCTCATTCTGTACGCTCTCTGCTGTCATCAAGGATGTCATAGGGTTGATTGATACCAGGGGCTATTTAATCAGCTGAGGTGGAGCAGCTGGGAGTGTGGCAGTCTAAGTGTAGCTGTGTGCATGTGCCTGTAAGTTGTGTTGAGTTGAGTTATTTTGAGTTGAGTTTTCTTCAGTTATGTGAAAATAACCATTTAGTTTGTTTAGTGATTTTGTTTGGCATGTGTACTTTGCTGGCACTTGTTTAAAATAAATTATTGATTTGAGAAAACCTGATGTATTTTTTGAGTCTGTCTCCTACATTCCTGGCCGCTCAGAGTCAACCTACCACAAATGTTAACTGGTGTGCACACAGTGTGCATTTGAGCCTGCTCCACAGAGAGGGCTTGACGCACACACTGTGCATTTTGGCCTACTCCAACCACAGTGTGCAAATTGCCCTGCTCCAGAAAGGGGCAAAGGGCACAGTGTGCATTTTGGCCTTTTCTGCACATGGCATGCACTTCGGCCTGCTCCGCACAAGGCATCCATTTGGGAGTTTGGCACTTGCCACAGCAGGTGTGAGCTTAATCCTGATTTCTTCCACCTCAGCCTCAGCCAGCTTGTTGTTCCTAATGGCTGACTCTGTGGCTGTGATGAAGTGTATCACAAGGATTTGTTTGGGTGTGCCTGCAAAGTTCAATTCCTTGGCTAATACCTGTTTTTCTGTGTCCTTTAGTTCTCTGTCTGAGAAATTTTTGACCCATTTGTCACTGTGCAATGGTTTTGGGTTGTGCTCCTCCTTGCTCCCCCAACCGAGGACGTCTGAGGCTGACTGTCCATTCTGTCTCTGGAATTTAGTCATCTGGCGTGCCTTGCTCTTGCTGTTTCCAAGCAAGTTGTTTCCAGAAGGATGACTGTGGTTCAGTAGGTAGAGCAGTCATCTCCCAACCAACGGTTTGAAGGTGCGAATCTCGGTGCCTGCAGTCCACATGTCGAAGTGTCCTTGGGCAAGACACTGAACTCCCAAGTTGCCGCCGATGGTTAGAGCCATTGGTGTGAGTTGGTGCCACAGATGGCTGCCTTGGTTCTGTACCGGAAACAAATTCCTTGTGCTTAACATCCATCCATCCATCCATTTTCCTCCGCTTATCTGGAACCGGGACGCGGGGGCAGCAGTCTAAGCAAAGATGCCCAGACTTCCCTCTCTCCAGACACTTCCTCCAGCTCCTCCAGGGGAATGCTGAGGCGTTCCCAGGCCAGCCGAGAGACATAGTCCCTCCAGCGTGTCCTGGGTCTTCCCCGGGGCCTCCTCCCGGTGGGACATGCCCGGAACCCCTCCCTAGGAAGGCGCCCAGGAGGCATCCGAAGCAGATGCCCAAGCCACCTCAGCTGGCTCCTCTTGATGTGGAGGAGCAGCGGTTCTACTCTGAGCTCCTCCCGGGTGACCGAGCTCCTTGAAGTATTGCATTTTAATTTCGTTGTACAATGTACAATGACAATAAAGATATAAAGATAAAGATAAAGCTGGCTCCTCTCGATGTGTGTGTAACATATTTGGCCAAATAAAGGCGGTTTATTTATCTTGAGCTCTCCTAAAAGATTTCTCTGGTTACCTTGGTGAAGAGTCTCTTCTGTAGTTGTTTTGTTTGTTCCATAAGGTTGTCTATGGTGAAGTGTAATTGTCAAATCCTTTCACTTAGAGGTTGTGCTTGAGCTCTTCTCAGAATGTTTCCATCCCTATATCCTTTTACAGAAGAGCGCAGCCTCAAACTTCTGGGGAAGACGTCATATTGGTGGCATCTTAGGTTGAAACAAAGGTGGTTCCTTTAGCCAGCCAGTTTCCTGACTGTTTTCTCGTACTCATGTACCAGTCGAGGGGTGTCATTCCCAAAGTGAGTAGCAACATGTCTGTGTAAATCTACCGCACATACTGTGCAAATAATGGTGATTTTTGTGACCAGGCTGTGGGAAGGCTTAATTTAGCTCCTGTATGAATGACCCTCAGTCAAAAACAACTAAATCCCACAGATGAGACAAAAAGTTCTACATTCAGCAGTCAGTAATAGGAATTCACAAGAGCACACTGCTTTCATAAAAAGTTCACAAAAAATTAAAAAGTGTCTTTGTGGTGTATTCAGTTAAATGTGGGTCAAAAAGGATTTTCAAGTCATTGTATTCTGCTTTTATTAACATTTTACACAATGTCCCAACTTCATTGGAATTGGGGTTTCTACTAGGCAAGGACCTTGATGGGCAGTTTTAATAGTGGTATTTAGGACTTTATCCCCATTACTCAAAACATGCTAAATAAAAGGAATTCAGCAGCCTCAACATAGTTGGATAAGAGCGAAAAACACAGGAAAGATCTCGGAAAGTTTCTAAAATGTCTCTGCTATGTGTGCAAATGATGAAAAAGAACAAACAATTTTAAAATCTAATAAATCTTTAATTTGAGCCATTTGTACAATTGAGAAATTACATTAAAACAAATCTTTTAAAATGTCTTGCACTGTATACCTCCCACCTCTGGCTTGCAGGTTAGAGATAATGGTAAATCCAAACAAATAACACACCGAAAATAAAGCTGCATATAATGGCACATTAGTTATATCAATGTACAATGTTTGCATAAAATACAGAGGAAAAGAATGCATCCATGAGGTTGTATTTACATTTAGCCTCATTGAGATGCTGCAGGTGCACCATTCTGCTGGAAACATACAAAAATAGATTATAGTGATGCACTAACAACTGTCTTATTTCTGAAAGGGTTCACTTTATTTTGTTGTTTTACACATCCTGACAACTGTTTGGAAGTGGATGTAAGGTCAATCCTTTAAGAAAAAAAAAGGTATGACATGTAACAGGTCGTATGACATTAAAATAGTACATCACCATGGCTGTTTAAAAAATAAATAAAGAGAAGCATTTGGTTTCAAATCAAAGGAAACTAGCAAACTACATCTATGGCAGGCCTAACTCTCCCTTTCTCTTTCTTAAATCCAGTACATTCTCCAGTAATGCAGTGCTGGTCTTAAAAAAAGCACAAATGTAAGGCACTGTTGGGTTGTCTTGATCATTTGAAATGTGCATCATTTGTAAATTCACACTGCAAATACGAAATCCTACTGTCAATTCACTGCAATAAAAATATGTATAGCAACTCCTGCATTTTTTAGCATTCTCTGAATACACAGATGCTGTAAAACAGAAGCAATCAGGAACCCCAGTATTCAGTCTCCTTACAGAAAGGAATATTTGGAATGGAGTATTACACACTGTTGACATCCTCACACTGCCTCCTTAGTAAGGACAAAACAGTGACAGCATCATTACAAGAGGGTGATGTACTGTAATCAAAGAGCGGTAGTGACACAGGTTCCATCAACTGGATCACCAAGGTAAGAGGAGCACAGACTGGACATGACACATCCTGATATCAGTGTGCTCTTGTGGTCTGTTGGTCATGTACAAAGAGAGATGACAATACACAGCATCTGTTCACAAGAGAAATCCAATTCAATGAGGGGACGCACCAACAGGAAAAATTACCTCGCTTGAAAGAGGTAAATAAATATAAGTGATAACAGTAATTTGTGAATATATTGGATTAAATCTGCAGAATAAAGCTTCAGGTGTACACTCCCTGATTCTGTTATATTGCTCAAAAGTTTGGGAGCATTGCAGGATACAATAACAAAAACAAGGACAGAGTTTCAAGGCCATACACAAAATACACTGAGGAAACAACAAACACAGTGGTTGAGTCAACCTCCTCACTGTTCTGTGTATATCTGTGCTACTGCAACCTCTGGATACGGATGTACTCTGCTGTGGCTAAGTGAGCAGCAAGAAAAATGTGAGCTTATAATTTGCTTTTAATACAGAGGATGTGGTAAAGCTTGTGCCACCTTTCACATGTATTTACAGCACACCCTCTACAAGTCTGTTCATGCCCTCCTCACTTGACAAAAAAAGAATAAGTACATTGAACATTTTAAGGAAATCAACACCCACACCGGTTGTTTTGAAAGCTTACACAGGGGTATACTCCAAACCATGCAGCCACATCAGTGCCCAGATGAACTTGGTCATGGCACCAGTTGGACTGTGGAAGAGGAGGGAGGGTCAGAGTCTTTGCGCGCATCTTAAATATCCCCAAAAAACTTCCTTGTTAACTCCATGTCATTTCTAATACAAAGATTATAGAAAAAAAAACACTCTACTGCTGAACAGTTTCTCTTGCAAAGATCCTGTGTTGAAAACAACAACAAAAAATAAAATCTCCCACAACACAAACAGAAGTCTCCCCCTTTATAAAGCAGTGAAGGAGCAGCAGCAGACTGGTGCTGTGATGCTGGGAGGACACGCAGGAGGAGGCGCTCAGGCTCACGGTCATCTCATGAGAAGCCTGAAGAGTTGGCTGAGCTGTGGTGCTGCAGACAGGGTGTAGTGTTCATCATGCTCATGGTGTTCAGGTGGAGGCTGGAGGCCTTCAGGGGTGTGCTGCAGCCCTGCGCCTGCGGGAAGCGCTGGTGGTATCGGTCCAAACGCAGGTACTTCACCGTCACCAGCTTACCTGTCAAATCAAAAGCAGGAGCCTGTCACTGACCAAGAACAACAGGTGAGACAGGAGGGTCGATGTCTTATACAGATGTTATCCAGGATGCGCCAATACCAGTATCGGGCCCGATACCAACCTCTAGTACTTGGATACTACGCACAATACCACTTAATGGCAACATTACATTAACCTCCTGCTGGCTGAGCTACTCGGTGGGTGGTGAAGAAGAAATTTCAGTGGTTCATGGACCTTTTATAAGTGATGACTGAGTCTCTGCTCTGCTGTGTCTGTCAGCAGCTCTCCCTCCCCGTGTCACACAGACAAAGCCGCATTTTACACAGACGTCAACGCTCGATATGTGCAACAGAACTCATAGCAATGTAGAAAGCAATCGATCAAACGCTGACCAACATTGAACACAACAACCACCTTGTAGGAATGTGACATCTTCACTCTCCCCCGCCGTCAAAATGCCACCCGCTAAACCCATACGGTGCTCATTGTGCTGACTGTAGTGAATTGTTGAGAACACGAAAAAACAAACGCTGATTTTATGTAGTTAACAGCGGAGTTTAGTGAGCTGTGTAAAAAAAAAAAAAAAAAAAA